AGGAGTCAGGGAGTAAGTAGAAAAGGCTGTTGAACTTGAAGAAGGATGAGAGACGAGTGGGGAGGGGGATACATTTGCATTCTGAACAGAAAGGCGCTTTTTTTGGGAGATATTTGATACATGTGAAAAAATAAATTTAAGAAATTGTTGTTTTTTTAGATAGGATCAAGTGTGAAGTGAAAGAATTAGATGAGGATTGATCAACATCTGTTGTGAAGCGACAATCATTTTTACAAATTAGACAAAAAAACAACACAGTACTTGACCAAGATGTTATTTAAAAAAACTCAAAGCTTAAAAACCTGAGTCTTTGACCATTTTGTAGTTTTTAAAATCATATGTTCTCTTGAAGTACCCTCATCACTCTCAACATCTGTTTAGTTTCAATTATCACATTTTTCACAAAAGTTTTTCAGTATTTTAAATGGCTATTGTACTATATATATGTATATAGACACACACATATATATTTACGTATTAGTAGTTGATAAAGAAGGTAAGAAGGTAAACCATCTACTGCTAACGGAAGTCAACAATACAACATATGCATCACATTGCACCATCAGTGACACATCCACACAGGCTCATCCACAGTCACTGGCCTCCTCACTGGCCACCCCACTGGCCTCTCCACTGGCATGCAAATGAGGCCATTGATTTGTTAAGTGACATTTTTACTTCCTTACACGTAGCTGTCCTTAAGTCCTTAAAAAGGTTTTTTTACTGCCAGTGAGAGTTGGAGGAAAGCCTTCACCGTCACCTCGTTAAGGCCAAACTGAAATCCTGCTCCGTCCAGACCATAACGCTGACCGCAAACCACGGCGAGACCCCCAAATCCTCACTGATAGGCTCCTGTATATGCAGCAGGGTACAGGCACAGACATTTAGGCTTCTGAGTGGGGGGGTGGAGGGGGGCAGCTAAACATAAAAATATTACACACACAACTCCAAGTGAGAAAGTCAAAATGTGACATTTTTATCTGTTTTCTTATTGACTACAGGTTTGAATCATGTCTGTGAGCAGTCGCTGTGTTTCTCTGCTCCAGGGTTCATTTTGACAGCCAACTTTAATTTAGTCTTTTGACTGAATTATAACTCTCAACTTAGTCAACGGAACATTTTAATATTAGGGTCAGGGTTATTGGATTCATTCTGTTTGGTTGTCCTACCTTCTGGTTAACAAAGAGACGCTCTGATTGGCTCTCGCACTCATTTGTTCAGTTAACATGAAGAAATCAAGCGCCGATTGGACTTTGTCTCTGCCACATTTATCGTCTTGTAGTTATTAGTTAAAGCTAATTCATCAATACATTCAGTCATCTTTGTTTAGCCACACGTGACTTCCTTAAGAATTATCTTTTCGCTTTTGTCTTAGAAAATTAATGTCATCGACTTAAATTGTTGATTTATATTTTATTCTTACTGAAATGAAATGACTCAACACACGTGTGCAAATGTGAATTTTCTTTTCTTTTTTTTTTTTTTTACCAATGGCTTTGAGTTAACACTGTTGTACAGATGAAACACATACAGTAGGTCCAAACGATTGTTCCCGATCAAACATTACCACCACGAGGGAAATGACTTTACTCTCACTGGTAACGGTGAAGATCTGATTAAGAAAAGATAATAACTCCTGGAATTCATTTTCTTCTCAATGGAAACAAGTCTCAGAGCAAAACAGAGGAGAAGTTTCCCCCCGTGTTTTTAACTCTGCAATAAAAAGGAGGGATTCCAGTGACTTCTACCCTGCCCCCCCCACACACCCCTTCTCCTTCAGCATTTACATAAAGGCATGCTAAATTATTCATTAATTATCAGAGAGTCCCCGTAGATGGAGATGACACACACTGGCCACTAATTGGCACATCAATAATCCTGCCTGCCTCTCCTGAAGTGGCACTAGATCCCACCTCAGGAATCTGCTATCTGCCCCAACCGTCTGCTGCACCATCACATGAAGGAGCACCTCCACACCTGCTCACCTGCTACATGTTAGGGCTTCATCAGGACATGTTTGTCCTCGCGACATGACATGCAGCGCTGCATCAGAAAGTGACCTAATACTTATAACACTTTTTTTTTCTGTAATAGTAGTAACAAAATAGATTTGGATAAAAAGTGAATACAAAATGTTACTGCTTTTGTCTTATATTTATGATGTTTAAACCATATTACTGTAGGGTTCCATTTAAATTATATTGTTACACGTTGTTGTCCTCCTATGATTATGGTTAGATAAATCTGATATTTAAATTTGAATTCCATCGTCAAATTTCTGGATTATGTTGCATTACTAAAATATAAAAACTACATTTTAGTTACTTAAAATCACATCTAAGTTCCTCATGTATTTAAGCTTAAAACATCAATAACCAATATTAATAAGTCCATCACATGGCCACATATAAAATCATCCGTACTGCAGTGTGACTTGGAGCCAAAGATGAACCTTTTTTTAAAAGAACATTTGAGAGTTTTTATTATTATTATTATTTTTTTTTTTTTATGGCGCCTATTGTATTGGCTGCAGAATGTTCTGGTTCTAAAGGATCAACTAAGACACGTCATCAGTGTAAATCTTATTATGAAATAAATGTCTGCTTTCAAGGCTGTTTTATCCCAAACAACATGTTCTTCACGTGTCTAAACAATCAGTCTCCCTGCTGTAAATTTCTATTCAGTTATATTTTAAGCCATTGCCGTTGCTCTGTGTTAAAACAACAGCAACAAATCAAACAAGAGACAAGAATAGAACGACCTCGCAAAGTATTCAGACCTTGTCATTTCTTTCTTTTTTTCTTTGTATACATATGGTATATATTCGCGTATGAGACGACCCTGCTTACCCATTAGCCTGCACTCAGTAACCAATCATGACAAGCTGAGAACATGGCTTTAAAAATTTAATAAGTGTATTATGCATCTAAAACAATAGGGGCTCCAGTGCCAACACACTCCCACACACACATTTGCAGACTCACTTATTCGCTCTCTCTCTCTCTCTCTTTCTGTCTTTCCAACGTGAAAGTGATTTCCATAAAGGCGGGCCCCTGGAGAGGGCGCTGCAATAACATGGCTGTCTTTGTTTCCCCATGCTGATTGACAGTAGATTGCGGTGCACATTAAATGCCCATCAGGCCCAGCTTTAGTTTGAGAAACATGGGAGCAGGGCCTGTCAAAGGTCAGTCCTAGCGCATAATGAACTGATCTCTCCCACTAGTGCAAACACACACACACACACACACACGGACATATGTGGTTAGATTCAGACCCTATTCCACCCATGATTAAAGTGAGTTCCAACGAAGCCTGCTCCGCTGCCATATGATGTGATCTGAATAGAAACTCACCGCTCTGTGACACCGACCTTTAAACACACTAACATAATGTGCATAAACAGACGGCGTGCATGACATTTCAGTTTTATTTAAACCATTTCAATTCCTCGCAGATTGTTTTAGCGTTGCCCCCTCCGAAACAGACAAATCTCTCTCTCTCTCTCTCTCTCTCTGTACATCTGTCAGACTTACAGCTCTCAGAACAGTGCTTGGATTTAAGTGGAGACATCGTCCAAAATGCCAACGTGTGCAATAACCATAAACCCGCTGTATGCAAAAATTATTTTTTACACTTGTGACTTGAACTTGCATGGCTGGGGATTGGAGGAGTCTTTTACCTTATCAGTTATTATCCACTGCAGTACCTCTGACACCATCTGTGGACTGTGATTCTTCTGAGTGACTTTACAGACAGGATGTAGATAGATAGATCATGAAGTTAAACAGATGTGTTTCTTGTTAAGTGTCTGATGCAGAACCACATCTGAACTCACCTGAAATTGTGGCAGGTTTAATATTGAAGACCACGTCTGGTTGATACAGTGATGATGGATGGAGGTTCTGGAGGACACAGTTTGATGTCAAGATAATTTGCTGCGTTGTCATGTGTAAAAACCGAGATGAACATTTGATTTTTTTAAGATGGTTTCCAACGGCAACAGGCTAAAATTTTTGCAGGATAAAGACCATCATAAACTTTTCTCAGTGATTTCATCGTCAATCTAAGACGCTGAACAACTGTCAAAATATGGCATGCAGTAAAACATACGAAATCACTGGTAAGGAGATGCACTCATGCATCATAATGAAGCTCGTTTAAAAGCGTTAAACCTGTCAAACCTTTTTTTTTCTCTCTTTATATTTCTTTACATTATGGGATTAGTGGCAGATCCAGACACCAGTTTGTTTTTTTTTCTTTCAGTCGCCGTAACATCATATCTCAACTGTACACAGTCTCCTCATTATGGCCCCGCTCTCCTCTCCTGCTTGAAAGTTGTAATTAAGAGAATGGAGGAGACTGTGATGCAGAATGAGCTGTCACAAAGTCGCATTCAAATGAGCGATGCGCGGCTCTCCGCCGTAAAAATTTAAATAATATAAATCGCCGTTTAAGTGCAGCACGGGCTAATGTTTTGTCACAAATTAATGTGACACAAGGCAGCAATGACAATCAGGGGCTGCCTCATTCTAATTTGGTCCTGTTTAGAGGGCTTTTGTGAGGCGACAGCTTTACACAAATTAACACAATTGCCTGTTTTTATGAGGAAACCATAAATGTTTTTTCCCTCCTTTACCGGCTAATGAGGAAAGAAAACGACTGGCACCGCAGCGTTATGGTTACGCACAGACGTCTGCGGGGGAGCGGCGTGGTGCTGGTGGTGTGGCACTGACAGAGGAAAAGAACAAAGGCAAAAGCTGAAGTGGTTCCCGAGTGAATTACAAGAGTTCACTAATGTTTGGATGCTCTCTGGTGATCAGATAGAGATTCACTGCACTCTCTGCTCGTTACAGAAATGGTTTGCAGATTGTGTCGTAGAGAAAGTTCTTTCAGTCTCTGAGAAAATTCCTGCTTCAGATGAATTAGTGAAAACTGCTGTTGGAGTGTATGTCTGTGGAGCAGCACACAGTGTAACCCTCTGTCCTCTCCTCCACCTACAGGCCCTGGAGAGCGAGTTCGTCTCCTGCCAGCTCCACCAGTGGATCGATCTGATCTTCGGCTACAAACAGCAGGGACCTGAAGCCACCAGAGCCCTGAATGTTTTCTATTATCTGACCTACGAGGGCGCCGTCAACCTCAGCTCCATCAGTGACCCCATACTCAGAGAGGTGAGGCTGATACATGATACGTCTATTTACACACACACACACACACACATTTTAATGCACATTTATGCACTGCACGGCTGGTTTAACTCTCCTGGCAGATCCTGCTGAGTCAGGGGAAAATATCATATTGCAGTGAGTACTCTGAGTTTTAGCACTTTAAAATGAATGCTTTGACTGACCGTATTATGAAAGCATTTGTCCATTGTCTGTATTTGTAGTTCAGGGTTGTTGGTTTTTTTTGTTTTGATGCCATTAGCCATGTTAAAGGTGTTGTAAAAACAGCAGAGGGGAGCGGGGCCAACAGCCTCCTGGTAAGTACTGCTGAGCAAGGTCTCTGCCATTAGATGATACCTCTAAAAGCACTCCGCAAAGTGTTCTACTTTAACGCCTTTAAAATTTCCTCCTTGCCTGTCATTTATTATTCATCACGCTCTCATTGAACTGCAGCACATGGAAGCCGCCGCTGCCAGTCTGAGAGCACACTCAAACTCAAAACACCGGGCGCAGAGGAGAAAGAGAAATGCTCTTCCACAGCCAAAAACTAAAGCTCAACTAATTCTACTTTGGGTTGAAAAAGTAGGGCATTCATAGTAATAATTGTCACACAAATGAATGAAGTTAATGTAAATAATCACACGGCTTCACCCCACAGTCTGGGTCTAATCCTGGCTGCAGTTCCAACTTCTCTCCACTAGTGAATAACAATCTGAGTGAAAAGAAACCAAACAATGAAAGCTGGAGATAACATTTGTGGGGAAGCGTCCTAATGGAGCCCCGTGTGTGTGAGTGTGTGTGTGAGATGAGATCCTCTCTGTAAAGAGGTTGTAATGCGTTCTGCTGTCACTGTTGTGCTGCCCTTCATGCTCAGTGACTGGAGCATCCTGGGCACCAGGCTGGGTCCTTGATTTATCACCTGTTTCAACATAATTCCCACCCAGATGTGTTTTGGCCTTTAGCCACGCATACAGTACACACTAACACACACACACACACGTTCATACACTCGTGCACCATCGTTTCCACACCTGGTCTGAGGACATTTCCCAGTCCACTGGTTGGCTCGACCACCATGGAACAAAATCAGTACCACACTGTTGTTCCTGTGAACCACAGCTTTGACCACAGGACTGATGTACTTTTTTTTAAATATCAGTATTTGCATTATTTACAAACAATCTCTTCTTCTTGGTCTACATTGCAAAACAGTTTTAGTGTTTTATTTAAGATGCTAACAAGGGTCAAATTACTCTGGACCAAATCTTTCTCCAGTCTCTAGATCAGCATGTTTTTCAGCATGAGTACTGAGTATTTGGGAAGGCCTAGTACTGATGCCAGTATCCCCACTGGAAACTTACATACAGGAGTTCAGGTACGTCACCTATCACTTCAGTTTCACCATCAAACCCACCGACCGTCTGAGCCTTTAATTAGCTAAACAAACCAAAACAGTGCAGTACCTGTGAGTCAAACCCCAGGCTTTTCCCCTTCACCGTGTTTGTGTGGAAGGAGGCTTTGGCCTGTCTGTGTGGAAGGTGGAAACTGATTTCCTGGCCTGGGCCTCATCATACCCGCGCAAAGTCTGAGGGCGGCAGGAGCTCAAGGTCTGAGGTTTTAGGGTCTGAGAGTGTCCCCAGAGTCCGTCTGTACTGAGTGACAACCTGGCCTGAGGTCTGGACCGAGCTAAGCTGCGTTAGGACAGGCCCCAGGGCTGTTCAGTGTCAAAAGGGATGGGTCACAGATGTGTGTGTGTGTGTGTGTGTTTGGGTGGAAAAGCTCAGAGATTGGGGTTGAAGTTTCTGTTTCCCTGCTTGGCTGACTTTGTGTTCCCGCCGTGCCGTTTGGCAGCCGTTAACGCCGACCCACCGCGGCCGACCTGACGCACACAGACGCGCTCACAGACAGCGGAGGTTTGTGCGGATCATACCTTGATGTGTTTGTACATATTGTCTGTTTACTGGCATTCACTGGCCGTGTGTATACCTTTGTATATTTATGTGTGCTCATCAGCATGAATGCACATGGCCGTGTGTTTACGTGTTCCTCGCTGCTCGGAGAGAGAGAGAGAGAGGGAGAGAGAGAGTTTGGAATATGTGTGCGCAGATTAGGGAATGCTGTGGAGACCGCTGCTATGTTTTTCAAAACCATGATTACTTCCTGTTCTGCCTCAGCCGCTTGTCAGAACTCACCTCCCCAGCACCTCACGACTCCCCCCCTTCACCCTCGCTTCACTCACAAAAGTACGACTTTGTGTGTGTGTGTGTGTGTGTGTGCGCAGATGCATGTATGTGCTGCCGTGTGTGCCCCACGGACATCTGTGTTGCTTCTCGAAAGTATAAAAAGAAACGCACCCTGTGTC